AAAAAAAAAAGCTATTTGTCTGCATGCATGTGGAAAACACACCAACCTTGTGGGTTTTCCTCAGAATCCATTCATCCAGGCTTTTTTAAAAATGTGTTTATTTTTTTTACTTTCATTTGCATTGGTGTTTTGCCTGCATGTATGTCTGTGTGAGGGCATTAGATCTCCTGGAGATGGAGTTACAGACAGTTGTGAGCTACCATGTGGGTGCTGGGAATTGAACCTGAGTCTTCTGGAAGAGCAGTTAATGTTCTTAACCACTGAGCCATCTCTCCAGCTCCTCATTGATCCAGTTTTTGAGATGGGATGTGGTCACTTTTGTCAATTGATGTGATTGAGATTTACCTGGGAGAGTCATTTTTGTCAGCTGACACAACTGGTACTGACCTGGGAGAGTTTCAGTGAGATTGTCTGGACCAGGTCGGCCTGAGGGCTACTGTCTTGTTTAATCGTTTAAGGATGGCACCCTGATTGTGGGTTGTGAATTGAGTAAGGGCAGAGTAGGATGGACAGTAGAGAAGAATGCATTCCCTTCTTTCTGCTCCAGACAGTGAAGTAACTGGCTGTTTCACTTCCTTGAGGTGATGGAACTGTGAGCTAAAATCAACTTTTCCTTCTAACTGGCTTTTTGTTAAGAGTATTTTTCCATAGCAACAGAAAGGCCTCTTGGACACTGGGCCTCTCACTGGCCCCAGGATCACCAATTTGGCTAGGCTGGCTGCCTGCTTGTCTCTCTGGCCCTGAACTACAAGCATAAGCAATGCCATATTGGCCTTGTTTGTTGTTTGTTTCAAGACAGGGTTTTTCTGTGTATCCCTGGCTGTTCTGGAACTTGCTCTGTAGACCAGGCTGCCTTCAGACTCAGAGATCTGTCTGCCTCTGTCTCCAGAGTGCTGGGATTAATGCCATGTTCCACCACTGCCTGGCTACACTTTTTTTTTTATACATGAGTTCTTGCCTAATTGAGGGCCTCAGGTTTGCAAGGTAACCCTGAGCCTTCATCCCAGCCCGTGCGTATTTATCTTCTTGAAGAAGGTCATCAAGTAGATTCCTCTCTCTGAGAAATTATATGCCTCCTAAAAATACTGAACATAAAGTCACTCTACTCAACGAGAAACTAAATTGAACAGAGCAGTGACTCTGACATGAGCCAAGCCAGACTCCTGTTTTCTTTTTTTAAAAAAATATTTTACTACATGTTTGTCTGTTTACCACATGTGTGCTTAGTGCCCACGACCAGGAGAGGTCACTAGATCCCGTGGAACTGGAATTACAAGACAGTTGTGGGGTGCCATGTGGGTGCTTTGAATTCAACCTGGGAATTCTGTCCTCTGGAAGAGCAGCCAATGCTCTTAACCACTGAGCTGGCTTTCCTTCATCTCTCCTTAACTAGGATTTCCATTGTTGTAAGAGTCAAACAGGCTGTGGAAGAAGTCTGGGCCATGTGAAATGCCCTTGTGTTTCAGTAGTACCCACTGACCTGCTTTATAACGGGAGATTTGCTTTTAGAGACAGGGTTTCTTTGTGTAGTCTTGGAACTCCTTCTGTAGCCCAGGCTGGCCTTGAATTCAGAGATCCACCTGTGTACCAAGTACTGGAACTTATGACATATGCCACCACAGACCAGCTCAGCCCAGGGTTTTAAGCCTTTCTGATTATCCAACTCCCTACCTGGGAGCCCAGGGGATTAAAAAGTTCAGTTTCTTCAGACTCAAGCTTTTCTGGTGTTAGTTCTACCTCCTCAGCGTGTGGTGGACCTGGGTTTTGCTGGCCCCGGTTCCTTCAGACCCTGGAACAGTTCTCAACACTCACCATTTGGCTCCAGGTAGGTCTGAGTCTACCAACTGAGCTAATACCTAAGACGTGTTTGTGTATATGGAGATTTCATACTGGAGTCCTGCGGTGACTTTTTCAGAAGACCAGTGTTCTACCAAGATCCTGTGGCCCTGTTGCGGGTGACCTCCCAAATGGATGCGATCTACCCTAACCCTGCACCAAGTCGTTAGCACAACAGACTGCCCTAGGAATTCACTGACATTTTCCTACCAAATTTCTCCATTTTATTCTCAGCCCACCTCACAGGTTTTTGTTGTTTAATGTTCGTAATCTAGCTTGCTTTTTCTCTCTGTCTCTTTCTGGTGTTGGACACTGAACCCAGGGTTTCAGATATGCTAGACATGTGCTTTACCATTGAGCCACATCCCCAGCCACACATGGAGGCCACCCGATCTCAGGAATTACCAGTTTGTCCTGCTGCCTATGCCACTGGACTTTATTATACTCTTACTAGTACTTGACATCATTCAGAGAGTGAAGAATTTGTGTGTGGATCTCTTCAGCCTCTTCCTCAGAGAGGCTGAGACAAATCTTCACTAGTACCTGGGAGAAGAAACAGGTGACAGGCCTAGGTAAACAGTGGAAGCAACAGGGAGAGGAGGGGACAGATGTGAGACAAGCTGACAGGACTTGGTGACTGGTCCACTACACAGGAGGCAGGAAAGACACCTCTAAGATTCAGAGCAAGAGGAGAGGGTGGGAGGTGACAGCATCCTCTTCTGAAGGCAGACTTTTAGTCACCCAGTTACACTGGAGACATCAGAATGCTGGAGGACCTGCCACTGGGTTCCCATGAGGAGACCAACAGTGGCCTCGGCTTGACTGAGGTAACTTTCCTCTTTTGTCTCTGCCCAGTGCAGGTGGCTAAGGGAAAGCAAGCTTCTTGAGTCAGGAGCTGGCACACGCTGGTTCTTCCTGAACTTACCCAGGTAAAGCCTTCATGGTCACGTGGCATTCTATCTAATGGCCTGGGTTCCTTCTTGTCAAGATCCAAAGAGCTTTTCATCAGGATGGAGTACATAGTAGGTACTTGCAGTTCTACTGCTTGACACACGGCACCTTTTATTCATGATCATTTGGTTTTATTGTGGCCTTGCAGCTGTGAGGGAACGGGCTGAAGAATTACATAGGGATGGAACCTTAACTGTGACTCCTAGGGACTTGGGACATCTGTGGGACAGGAGGCATGGCTTCCGGAACCACCATGGGCAGGGAGCTTGTAAATGTGGTCAGACCAACTCTGGACACCAGATGTCACTGTTGCTCAGACACAACATCCCCCGTTGCTGCTGAAGAGTACCAGAACCCCCAGGAAGGACCCCAAACCTGCACAGGCGCTCAGGTCTCCTAACAAGAGGGTGAGGCTTCTGCTCATGAATTGTGCACATCCGCCACAGTCTTTAAGTTCCTCAACATTACTCACACTGCCTACCACAACAAAATGCTGTGTAACCGTTGTACACAACACCCTGAGGAACCCTCACAGGAAAAGGAAGTCCGCACATGCTCAGTACTGACACAAAAATAAAATATTTCAGATCTGTGGTTGGATGAGCCCCCGGGGGTGTGGAACCCATGGACAGAGGACCAACTGGAACTTGATAAATGCAAACAACCGAACCGAACCGAACTGAACCAAACCAAACCCAAGATTCACTCTAATGAAGTCAGCAGACATTAGCTGAACAGGGAACGAATGTCAAGCACTTTGGATAAAAGGGACCATTATACATTGACAGTAAGTGGGCAAGAAAGCCCTGAAACAGTCACTCCACACTCCATTACACCCACCATTAGGACAAGAGTTGCATGAGAAGCCAGAGTAGAATGCTGTTTCCCTGGGGAGCCAGCCAATCCCAACCCTGGGCTCGGAGTCCCAGCCAGCTGTTCCTACTGTTTCTTCTACTGGCAGCCACCATGTTCTGCTGCAAGCACTTACTGCCAGCCTGTGGGGACCTTACCCCCACACTCAGCACAATCATAAAGCAGCAGCCATGCACTGGGTTACAGAAGCTTGGCACACTAGGCTAGGCCCCTCCGACTTCCTGTTTTCTCTAATCCTAGACAGTGTTCCTACCTTAGATGAGGAAGTCATAGCTATCTGACTCAGAGTGGCAGAACCATGAGTAAAGGTAGCACTTAGAAACAAATTCTCAAGACACAGAACACTGTTAAAGCAGGAAGAGAAAAAAAAAAAAAGAGAGAACTTTCTCAAACTTTTCCAGGTGCACAGTAGCATGGCTAATCCACACTCATGTCACGGCTGGGAAGACAGGAAACTGACTGGATCAGGTTATACAGTCCTTGTTTGGGACCTCTTGCTTAATTGTATTAAATACAATCACTACTGCCACTCCAATTTCACAAAGGGCACCACAGCAGGTCCCTAACATCTCTTGGCACCTGTCATGCTACCACGGACTCTTTTAAAATGGCAGCGATTCCATCCACTCTAAACTGGAACAGTAAAACATAAAGCCCTGCGGTCCGTCCTGTAGGCAGCACAGCACAGCACAGCACAGCACAGCACAGCACAGCACAGCACAGCACAGCACAGCACAGCACAGCACAGCAGGAATGCAGCATGGAATGCAGGCCCTGTGCCCCAGGCCTGTCTGTGCCAAGGGTACTATCTTCTAGATCATTAGTTTAACAACAGTGTATGTTTAAGTTCTTAAAGGGCCAGCACAATGACTCAGCAGGTAAAGGTGCCTGCTACCAAGACTGTTGATACCCAGGATCTATGGTGGGAGAAAACTGACTCCTCAAAATTATCCTGTGACTGCTGCACACACGGAAATCAGAGATAAAAGGAGGGGGTTGAAGAGATGGCACAATGGTTAGGAGCAAGAAGTCCTCTTGCAGAGAACGCACATGCAGTTCCCAGCACAACTGCCTATAATTCCAGCTCCTGAGATATCCGATGCCTTCAGCCTCCCAGGGCACTTGCACATTCCCACATACACACTTACAACCACACATAATTAAAGTCAAACTCTCAGAGCAGGGAGGGGCACACGGTAAGTAGCCAACAGATGCCAGCAGTCAGTTCTCACTGGAGATGGCCTCTAACAGTCTCTTGCCACAGGTATTCTGTTTTCTAGTCTTTGTGCTGGTCTAAGGAAGGATTTACTTTTTCAAAACTGAAATAAAAACAAGACATCTGATAGTTCAGACTTACTTTAATAACAATACATACGACATCTTGTCACTATGGAATGTAAGGGTTGGACAGGGATTTCACAGTGCTCTTAACATTCTGCATATCCAAGTTTGTGTGTAATGTCTCGGAACACCAGCCTACTCACCATTTACCCATCACTTTGGTACTTTAATAAACATGATTCTTACAAAGTAGACACACTGCCTGCAGTAGGCGTGCATTTCCTTTATCCTTGGATTACAACGTACAGTACCTACTTCTGCTGGGGTTCAACTCAGTGCACAGCACTTGCTTGGCCTATGTGAGACCCTGCATTTAATGTCCAGCACCACAAAAAAACCCCAATACCTCTATATTTTAAGATGTTTAAGAATTATCCTATTACCAAGCAGCAAAAATATAACTTTGCAATTATAAAAGAACTAAACTAGAACCCATAATCAATTTGTAAGTGTGATTCTAATAAACACTGCCTCTCTGCAGCTTTTATCAGCTTTCTAGGTTGTTCTACACACACACACGCACACGCACAAAACACACACTCCCTCCTACTTAGTTATAGGGGCTTTATAAGCTATATTTCATGGACTCTTTGGAAAGTGTTTTCAGAAGCCAACAAACCTTAAAACCTGAAGTTCTAAAGTCAGCCCACAGGTAGACAAAATAAATGAACCAGGGCAAACAGGGTTCTTTCCTGACACCCTCCCGAAGCTTGGCCTACTCTGCACATAGTGTGTGTGTATCTGCACTGTCAGCTGCCCTTCTCACAGTGACTCTCATCATAAAGGTGTAAGGAAAACACTGTGACCAACTACTTTCAGGTGATAGATTTCTTCTGTGTTACCTTGACTCCCCTGAGTGACCTAGTTAGTGAATCAGTCACTAATGATTTGGCCACCAGGCAAATCAAGCTGGCAAGAAAGTAAACCAATATTCAATACTGTGTTTTGTCTAAACCCACATGGTATTTATTGCAGATACAAACAGGTAACCTCAATATGAGACGTCTAATGAAAGCAAGCACTTCCCAGACCAAGGCAGCAGCTCTTCTAAGGCTTAGGCTTGGCCCAGAATTCTTTATACATGGAATAGCCCATACCTAAAGAGAAAGAAGAGAAGCATTAAAACATCTCCTTCAGCTTCAGAAAACATGCCCATCTACAGGACAGGGCCAGTGTGAGCAGCTCACCATGTCACACTGTTTTAATGAACAATTACTATTTACTAGGCAATTTTAAAAACACTATGTTATACAAGATAAAGTCAATAAGCCATGATACCAGTAAAAACATGTACATTTTAGAATCTTGTCGACCTTCACAAACTCAATACAACCATCGTATTCTTCTCAGAAAACTGCTACTATTAACCTGTGCCCAGAATCGGAGCAATGAAAGAGTCACAGAATAAGGATTTACTATCACAGGAGGCAAAGCTGTCACTGCTCTAATTAATTATTCTTTCATAAGAAATGAATCAAAGGTATTTTCAAATTGTTTTAAGATCAGCAGGAAGAACTTACTTTGCTTTGTAAGGAAAAGCATCAATGAGAAACAGAAATTTGCAAATGTCCTGTTGAACCTACCAAGAGTCATGGCCCCCACAACAAAGCCCTGGGCTGCCACACGCATGTGGATCAAGTGAATGGACATCTTCGTGTTTCCCCTGCTCTTCAGTTTGTATAACCCGTACGCAACAATTGCTGCAAAGCCTGCCATTCCTACAACACAGACAGTCACGGCTGTTAGATGCACGGGAGAGGAACCAAGACAATGTCGACATTAGTCAATGTGCTTTCTGCTATTTTTGTAAGGATACTTTCTCAGATCATTAATTAAATAACACATGGACTAAATTTTCAATCTTTCTGCTTCACAAGCCCAAATCTATACTTCACAGTGAACAGTAAGCTGGCCTCGAACTCCACTTGGCTCTGCCTCTTAAGCACTGGCTGGGTCTTATGTATCCCAGGCTGGCCTCGAATCCGCAGTGAACAGTAGATGAGCTTGAACCTCTGATCCTCCTGCCCCTACCTTCCCGGCGCCAGGTTATGGCATGCGCCACAATGCCCAGCTAATGGTTACTTCTGAGCAATGTTGGTTTATGGAATAAGTAGATAGATTTAAGAACGCAGGGTCAGTGAGTTGTCTCAGCAGGTAAGCCTGCTTCCACACTGGACAACGAGCTGATTCCTGGAACTCAAGTTTTTTTTTGTTTTTGTTTTTAAAGCTAAGTGTGGTGAGTATCTTAATGCCAGCAGCACTCCTATGGGCAGAGGGAAGGTGGACACGGAAGGCCACAGGCCAGCTAGCCTGTGGTATGTAGTGCAGAGAAAGTACGAGAGCTGCCTCCACACGGTGCAGGAGAGAACCAACTCCCGACCGTCATCCTCAGACCTCCACATGAGCGTTGTGGCTCATGCACACATGCGCACATATACAATAACAAAGAAACAAAATTTTAATTTTAAAACAGACCATTCGGTCTCTCAAACCTTTAGGAAATTTTGACAAAATACAATCACACATTAGGCCACAAAGAACACTGAATTTCAAAAAGGCTAATACCTAGACTGCATAACCTAGAACTAAAATAAGCAGTCAGTATACAACGGGCAATACATGCACACTACAGAGGCCAAGCCTGTTAATGGCCTTGGACGTTAAAACAGAAGGGAATTAGGAAATAACTGTGCTAGCACTGAAAAGGCAAAAACAAAGGACATCACTGCTCTTAGAGTAAATAAAATCTGTCAGACCCAAACCAGAAAGTTGTAGGACTGAGAATGGAAATCCAGCTAGACTCTTCCCCTTGACGTTTTCTGATGTATCCATGAAGTGACTACCCTTCGTGGCTTCAGGGTGAATGTGACACTCTAGAGCAGTGGTTCCCAACCTTCCTAATGCTGCGACCCTTTCATACGGTTCCTCATCATATGGTGTCCCCAATCATAAAATCACTTGTTGCTACTTCACAACTGTCATTTTGCTGCTGTTATGAATCCTAATGTGAATGTGTTTTCCCATGGTCTTAGGGGACCCCTGTGAAAGGGTCAGAACCCACAGACTGAGAACCACTGCTAAGAAAGAGTCAAGTGAAGGAGTCTGAACTGTGGCCCTGCTCACATCAGAAGGGCCTGTGGTCATGTCTGTGAGACACTGACTGTCTGGACACTGAGGGTGGTGTCATTCGTTTTGGGCAGGTGGTCCTGGGCTGGAAAAGTAGCTGGCTGAACATGAGCCTGGGACTGAGGAAGCTGTATCCATCAAGTTTCTCCTTCAGGTTCCTGCCCTGACCTCAATGAGACGGCCACCTGAAGTTTAAGACAAATAACTGTTTTTTCTCTTCCTTTTGATGCTCTTGGTGATGGATTTTATCACAGCAACAGCCATGTAACACGAACAGCAATTTTTTCTCTAATTGGTCTAGTTGTTTCTCATTTGATTTCCTTGTATTCCCTGTGCAGATAATTATATTACCCACACACCAACAGGGTTTCTTCCTAATGTACACAGCTCTGGCCCAGCCCTATGCAAAATGTCAGGCTCTCCAGGCAACAACAGCAGGGTTCACAGGCATCCCTGATCAATTGCCAACTTTAAAGGGAATGTTTCTAGTGCCTAGTGCTTTAACACTAATTATAATTTCTATCTACTTTAAGCGAATAAATTATTCCTATTTATTGATTTTAGAATTTCCACTGGTGGTCATATTGCTGTTTCACGGGATGAAGGGCCTTCATGGACACTGGATGTCTCTGTGACTGACCACAGTACACCCTAACTGCCAGGGACTGGCAGCCTGCGTCTGCCCATGCTGCTGCCCATCACTGCTGGGAGAATGCAGGGTCCTCTAGAAAGCACTGTAGGCTTGGGCTTCATTTCTCCCAACTTCATCTTGATGTCTTTGCTGACTTTCACCTCTATCCTTTCAGTGCTAGAGATCTTAACAGGGTTTTGTCTTGAGTCCTGGTAAATCTCTGGATCAGAAGGTGGTCCTGGGATCCCCACACAGCATGGGGCACTGAAATAACAGCCAAAAATCTGAATACACACAGAACTTTTGTGATGAGATTTATACGATATGATACTGATTTTAACCATATTTCAACAGAATAAGAAAAAAGGTATTTCAGGGTCTACTCAATATACAAATTGATCATGCTTCCACTGCTCCAAGCTCGGAGCAGACTGATTACCTGAGCAATGCTAACTTACCAATGGGGACAAATGGTGTCTCCTTAGCTTTCCGAATAAACTTGGACCCCTGACCTTCATCGTATGAAGAGAGAGAAAGGTCTGTGTTGGTTGACATTTTGATTTCTTGAAGAGTCTTCCTGAAAGAGAATTTTTTGTGAGGTTGTGTAATTAAAAGCATCTAGAATATTATTCAATACTGAATGAACAACTATGTGTAGTGAGAATTTTGGTTTCTTTAAAAAACAGAAATAGGAATGTGCTTTTGTTTTAATCCCAGGTGTGAGGTGTGGGGCTGCTTCATTTTCCACAGCAGCCGAGCGTGATCTGCCTCGTGCTCTGCGATGGGTTTGCCAGCTGAAGATATTTTCTGTGATTATGTGACATTTGGAATTTTGGGAACTTTTTAGAGGGTGTATAAGGCTAGGGCCCCAAGAGGCGGTGTGGTTTGTTAAGCAGTCATGTGCAAAGAAATGAGAAGAAATCAGATATCTTGACAGCAAATATCAAACCTGTCCCCAAGGAACTCGACACCCCTCATCAGCAGGAAGTCGTCTAATGATGATGTCACCCCTTCCTGCTCTATCCTTTTTTCTCTATTTAGTGTTGGGGGGTTGAAAAGGTAGAAGAAAGAAGCCACAAAGTAGACAAAGTTCGGCTACAACTCTGCCTAGGTTCCATGGTATCTGTTATCTGTGAACTTGAAAAAATACTTTTAGAATTGAACTTCCACAATTAAAGAGAACTATATATATTTATTCTTCCATCATTTTGCCTTTTCTCTCATGTAACAATTTTTCTTTTAAGATACTGGGAAAACAGCAATATTCTTTTAAAAGAATGTGCACATGTCCGTGTATCTGCTTGCAAGTGCCCAAGGAGGCCAGACGGTGCTGGATCCCTGGAGCTGGAGAAAAGACTGAAATACCTACTTACAGATACACTTTCATGTTCTATGGCATAGCATGGCGGTTTCTTGTTTTGTTTTGAGACAGGGTCTCTTTACGTAGCCCTGGCTGTCCTGGAACTCAGGCTGGTGTCAAACTCAGAGATCTGCCTGCCTCTGGCTCCTGGGAGATAGAATTAAAGGCATGTGCCACCATGCTGCTGTTTTTTTCTCCCTCCCTCCCTTCCTTCCTTCCTTCCTTCCTTCCTTCCTTCCTTCCTTCCTTCCTTCC